TTGATAAACTTGATACTACAAAAGTACAACATAATTAAATGATTAAAACAAAAATACTATCCTATTGATTGTAGCCCAAGACAGATTGAATATTATGTTTTACATATTATATTAAAATAATTTAAAAGGAAATTTATATTCTATTTGGTTCGTTTTTTTTTTATTATAAACTGTGTTTTTTGTCTGATTTATTTTTATAGTTCAAGATGTCAAACAGACAACCAGGTCCTTATTATTCTGGAAATTTTTAAAATGTAGAATGTAGAATGTAGTTATTTTAGTATATAGGTACATTCAATCCATAAGTGATAATCCATGATAAATATTTCTTTGTCGTGTTATAATCATTATATTACAATTTTCAGTACATAATTACATTTTTGTTTCATTGTATTTATTCCGTACCTAGGTACATATTATTAGTTTTGATTGTAACAATTATTAAAAATGAAAATGTATAATATTGATAGGTATGTTGTAAATTAAATATTGTTCTTTTACATAAAGCGTCCTATATTAAAAGTAAGCAATAGATACCTAATTTAGATTTGTTAATAAATAATTCATACATGTTATTATTATCAATATTATTTATTCTAAACCTGGAACTTAGAAATATTGACCACAGATTTTAGCTTTAAATACACCATTAAGAAGTGCTTCTAAAACTATATTACGTGAATAGTTTAAATTTTAAAATGTTTCATTTTTAAGTTAAAATCGTTCAAATTATTTGTGGTAAATAAATGATCATAGGCGCACATTGGGTGTGAATTTAGGGGGTGCTGGAATAATTTATGATTCACAGATCCGTGGGGGGCTTTGCTCCCCACACAACCCTAAATCCTAATATTTCTGCATTGCATTAGATTTAATTTGTATAGTGTATTCAATAATATCTAATGTGCAATGTATCAAATAGTCTGTATGATTGTACAGAAGACGCTGGTACACCAACATGTGTTGTCTCCGTATTACAAACGTAGGTACAACATAGGCAAAACTGTTTTGCACGGGTATAAAAAACTTTAAGGCTGTACTCTAAGCTAAGAAAGTAAGAAACTAAATGTTCACACTATAAATATGAGAAAATTTACTGTGTAACTTTGTTTTTATATTTCATAAAATTTGAAAACAATATATTAGGAGCCTTCTATTACATTTTTAAGCTTTTATACCAACAAATAAAATTTTATTGATACTTATAGAAAAAAAAACTAAACAAAATGGAAACTAAAAATGTCCATAAAAACCTCAAAATAACTCAAAATATTTAGAAAATTTTATCATGCATAGAAAATGGAAATATAAATAACCAGTAAGATAATATAATTTTCTATAATGATATGATATAATTATATGATTGCTACATACTGTTTAATGTTTTGACAAAAACTGAAACACTGAACCATGCATTCACACAATACTGTTTTAATCGTGAATTCGTAAACAGTTGTCAATATTTGTAATAAAAAGAAAAATTGCGAACCAATAAACCACGATAGTTTATAAATGATTGGTGAAATACCGAAATAAATTGAGGGTGCTGGTTTGAAGCTTGGGGGTGCTAAGCAAACCCAAGCACCCCCCTATGTGCGCCTATGTAAATGATTGGTCCTGCAGTGCATTTGGAAAGGTTTTGTAAATGTTGGTCCTCAGTTCCTCGCAATACTGTGTGAGTGTGCTTGATTTTTCGTAAAAAAAAATACTAATTCTGGTCATCTCCCTGGATGGGCGTATTTTTTTAATTTTCCCCGGGTGTTAAAAAGCTATGATCCGGCGCTGTATGTAACTAACATCCGACTTTCTGTTTAAAATATTGTTTATCTACTGTTTTTGATTCAATATATTATACATACCATACTAAATCAAACTGTTCAAATACACACACAATTTGTTAAAATAAATAAATAATATTAATAGTATCAATGACATACTGCAAGTTAGGTTAAGTTAAATTATACTTTTATTAAAAACGATGTAATAGATAGGTATGTATACTAAACATATTATATTTTTTAACAAAACAACAAAAATGGCAATGTACCATATTCAAATGGATTTTAATATTGACATCCCTATGATTAATTTTGTTAATAACATGCACTAAATAGCCTTGATCTGATCATAACAATGATCGTATATTTATTTTCTTGGAATTAATTAGGTACATTAAGACAGTGTAATTTATTATGACACCTAATTGTGTTTATAATATGTTTTTATCATTTATCATACAATAAACACACATTTATATAAATATATAGGTACTTTGGGATTTTCTATTTTTTGTAAATTAATGAACTTTATAAATATCGACTTAATAATCGAATTATCGACGCACACTTTTTTACTAACAAAAAGGGCTGGTGCAATATGGATCATAATTACACGTTGAACAAAGTGCGCTGATAGTCTAGACAATCGATTAGGTAAATGGTTTTTTGACTTCAAACTTTTGGACAGACCCAAAAACCACAAAAAAGAAGTGTAAAATATGCGTACTTACACCGTTGATGACTGATAGCTAGACACTCAAACTTTTAAACATTCCCGCCAATGCGCCAAGCTTTATCTCCAATCCATATCACTAACTCTTATCACAAATCCTAAACTTTCATCTTACGACTGTCGCTACTTTTATAATTGAAACGACTCTTACTCCAAAATCGGTACCCCCTAATTCAGCGAGTCTCATAAGCCAACTAGAATCTATATTTTTGATTATTCACTATTATCTGCTCAACTAACGGGGTCCGCAATCCACCGCAGGTGGAGTGCATACCTGATAATATACGCTTCGCATATTTCTTACCGATGTGATTTTATGACTGATAGCTAGACAATCAAATACACATATCGACTCTACACTTTTTAACAATTTCAACAACGAAAAGCAGCTGACAAACGCCTAGAGATCCTAGAGATCGTATCCATTTACAACGTTCGTGACGGATTGCTAGACGCTTAAACTTTTAAAAATTTACGCCAAAACGCCAAGCTTTATCTCCAATCCATATCACTAATTCTTATCACAAATCCTAAACTTTCATCTTACGACTGGCGCTACTTTTATAATTTAAACGACTCTTACTCCAAAATTGGTACCCCCAAATTCAACGAGTCTCATGGGCCAACTAGAATCTATATTTTTGATTATTCACTTATCTGCTCAACTAACGGGGTCCGCAATCCACCGCAGGTGGAGTGCATACCTGATAATATACGCTTCGCATATGCTTACCTATGTGATTTGATGACTGATAGCTAGACAATCAAATACACATATCGACTCTACACTTTTTAACAATTTCAACAACCAAAAGCAGATGACAAACGCCTAGAGATCCTAGAGATCGTATCCATTTACAACGTTCGTGACGGATTGCTAGACGCTTAAACTTTTAAAAATTTACGCCAAAACGCCAAGCTTTATCTCCAATCCATATCACTAATTCTTATCACAAATCCTAAACTTTCATCTTACGATTGTCGCTCCTTTAATAATTGAAACGACTCTTACTCCAAAATTAGTAGGTACCCCCAAATTCAGCGAGTCTCATAGGCCAACTAGAATCTATATTTTTGATTATTCACTTATCTGCGCAACTAACGGGGTCCGCAATCCACCGCAGGTGGAGTGCATACCTGATAATATACTCTTCGCATATTGCTTACCGATGTGATTTTATGACTGATAGCTAGACAATCAAATGCACATATCGACTCTACACTTTTTAACAATTTCAACAACTAAAAGCAGCTGACAAACGCCTTGAGATCCTGGAGATTGTATCCATTTACAATGTTCGTGATGGATTGCTAGACGTTAAAACTTTTAAACATTCCCGCCAAAGCGCCAAGCCTTATCTCCAATCCATATCACTACTCCTTATCACAAATCCTAAACTTTCGTCTTACAACCTTTGAGACTTTTATAATACCAACAACGTTGTCTCCAAAATCGGTACCCACTCTCGGCGAATTCCACGGGCCCCGAGTTTCACTTAGAGCTAGTAATATTATAAAAAGAAGTAAAGAACATATTTGTACATCATGTAAACTTATTATTTTCAATATCCAAGTTACAACATATTAACTTGTAACTAATGACAAATAAGTGATTAAGTATTATTTTTTCAGTTGTGTGTGCCAGTTAGAAGTATATTGGCTTTCCAGAACAGTTTGTTGTGTAGCTATAAAATCGCATGGCTTAATATATCCAAACAATACAAACTTCACAATTACTAAACGTCACGCTGTCACAGACTTCATTGTTATTAATACTAAATTTAAAATTTCTAAATTTATCAGCAGATTTCAAATAATGAATCCATTAAATAAGTCAGTAAATAAAACCTATCATAATAGTAGGTATACATAATAGTATACAATCAAAATGTTTCATGTTAGTATTTTAATAATGACTTATAATAATTGTTTTAATATTTGTATTATAAAGAAATACTAAGCAAATAGTTGGATTTTATATAAAAAATTGGTTGATCCAATTCCTTTTGATCAAATCAGGATAAGTAATAAAATGAGTATTAAATTAAATATTCTATTTATCTACTTTCTATAAATTATAATTCATTTTCAGAACTTGACTTACCATATACATTTAATTCTTGGTTTATTATAACAAAACTACACATGGATGATATTTGTTCGTTTTATGAATGAAGGGAAAGAATACAACCGACGACCCAGAAAATATTGAATTTGTAGTGAAGTATATTAGGAAACAGGTAAAATAAAAAATATATTAAGGGTTACTTAGGATTGGTCAACATTTTATTTTATATATTATTATTTTCAACATATTATGTCCGTTCTTCAATTGCAAACGTTTGATAGTTTATTTACAAAAAAATATGTCAAATGGATAAAATTTGTATAGAAATATTGTAAAAAGAAAAACAGTGTATTTTATATATAATACTTTACCTAACAAAATCATAAATTAGATTTTTTTTAATAAACAACAATTAATTATGTTATGTGTAAAACTCACAGAATTCATTAAGAGTGTTGTTAGCAATTCTATCAAAACTGTCCGACATATTTATATTGTCTTGGACTATTTCTAGATTGGGTTCTCCACGAACACTATTTTCTGTTAAAAGTAGACTAGGAGACAAATTGGTTGACAAGGCATGTTCACTGTCTCCCAACAACGTTCTTAAGTCACTAGAATCTAAACTTGACAATGTAGCTTCCATAAGATTAGACTCATTATTGCTTTCTGTTGGGCATGGTAAAGGTGTTGTAGTTATGGTAGTTGGTAGATCATAATTTGTTGGATTATGACTATTAACTGGAGGCCACACTAAATTCCAAAAAAAATAGTATTAGTATTAACTGTTATTATTGATAAACATAAAAAATCAATTATCATACTATATTTTTAAGCTTTTTTCTATTTTCTCATTTTTCATAACCATTTAAAGTTCTGTATACTTGGCAGTACTGTATTCACATTTACTATTATATGTTGTAATGCTAGTTAAATATTAGCTAATACATACATATTATGTAGTGTTTTTTTTTTTCATCTTCATAATATTCCTACATCAGATAGAATGAAAATTGGTTTACCTGTAGTATTTAGTTGAATATTGGTGTTCTGAAATGTAGTCTGCCCATACGATGAGATATAATTTACATTTGGTAACCAATATTCAGATTGTGAAGGTGTTCTTGAGTTATTTGAAGGCAAATGTTGAAGAAAACTCGAATTTGGAAGTGAATGTATACCACTTAAAAGATTGGGACTAGGTTCTATACAATAAAAATGAGAGTATTAATTGTTGAGAGCAAACATTCTAATATATAATTCGAACCTGGTTCTTCTATGATTGGTACAGAAATTGACAATTGGTCAACCATTCCATCTATAAAATTACATGACTGATCTTTATGTCCTAAAATTATAGAATTGGTAATAAAAACAATATTTTGTATTTAAAAATGATAAAGCAATTGCATGCAAATTTATAAAAGCTTATATGTAATTTATATTATTTTTACTCACTAATAGGGTTGTTCCTCGGTAATTGAATCAAACGTTCACTTTCGCTAAATAATATCTGTCTTTTCCTTTTCAACACAACCGGATCTATAACGCGCAATAAACAAATCAATAAACATTGCATAAACTTAAAATAATAAAATATAATTTTGAACATTAACTTGGCTCTCAATATTTAACTGCAATATAAAAAAGGTGGGCAAGTGGGTGTCGCTCTGCTGTACAGTAGGTTACAAGCTGGTCACTGTATAATGGATGATATTAAATTTGAATTCAACGATTTAATATCATTGTATAAGAAAAACGATTCTGAGCGGAGACGGTATGTCAGTCTAGGTATAAGACATATTATATACATATCAATGGTACTAAACCAAAATTTGACCTATAATAGGTACCTATAATAAATTCCAAATTAATCATATCACAATATCCATTAGGTACATATAACGCGTTATACATCAACAAAAACCGTGATACTATCAGAGATATATAATAGTACACTTTAGAAGTTTCAAGTACCCACGAATAATATTATTCAATCACAACAAAATAACTAAAATAGTTATTCTAGGTTTTTTAATATGTAATTTCGTCCAAATTTGAATTTAAAATGTCTGTAAAAAATAACTGTGTTGGTAATATATTTCTTAGATTTTTTGGTTACAGTATGAACTATTTATGAGAACCTTTGTTTTAAATTTCTAATCCTTAGCTATAAAAACTGAACATTTTATAATTTATTAATTACAATGATTGATAATTTCGAGATTTTGATAAATTTTGTCAAAATTTGATCTTTAAATGCTTATAAAAAAAAACTGTGCCTATGTATTTTTTATATTTTTCAACTAATATTGTAACAATATATCAGGAGCCTTGTATTAAATTTTTACACTTTTTGGCCCAACAGATAAAACTTTATTGATATTTTTAGCAAAAGAAACTAAAAAAAATTGAAAGCCGTAAATGTCCGTAAATAGCTCAAAAAGAGTCAAAATATTTTCAAAATTATATGGTGTATACTATACATAACCGTCGATAACCGTGTTTGCGATATCGAGTAATAGCATATTTCGATTACTATTTACAATTAGGTAGGTACTTAATGATTTGCCTCTAATATAATCTATCAGTTGTAAAACGCACACCGTTCGCAATAGAAACTAAAAATAAAATTTCGGCGCACCAATACATATTACATGTTGCATGTGTGACTGTGTGAGATAACCGTCGATAACCGTGTTTGCGATATCGAGTAATAGCATATTTCGATTACTATTTACAATTAGGTAGGTACTTAATGATTTGCCTCTAATATAATCTATCAGTTGTAAAACGCACACCGCTGTCGCCTGTCTGTTTTGTATTCAGTGTGTTATATGCACTACGGCTACGTATATCGACCGATATTTATTACGATCTTTTTTTGTTCTGTGTTATTTGTTGTGTATTTTTTCTGTAATAATAGTAGTTATAACTATGGATAAGTTTTTGAATTCTAGTAGAAAACGTGATAATCCAGAAGTAATTTCAAATATTGAAAAGAAACAAAAAATCAGAAAATATGATGATAGTTATTTGAATTTCGGATTTACTAGCACTGTTGTTGCAAACGTAGAACATCCCCAGTGTGTTGTTTGTTTGAAAGTAATGGCTGTAGAAAGTATGCTTCCAAATAAAATGAAACGCCATTTGGAGACAGTTCATGGAAATTTGGTGAACAAACCACGTGATTATTTCGTATCAAAATTAAAAGCTATGGCTCAACAAAAACATATTTTTACAAAACAAGCTACAATTCCTTCTAAAGCACTACTTTCTTCCTATAAAGTAGCTTGGCGAATAGCAAAGAGTAAAAAACCTCATACTATCGCAGAAAATCTAATTTTACCAGCCGCTATGGATATGGTGTCTATTATGATTGGGGATGCTGCTGCTAAACAACTTCAAAATGTGCCATTATCAGATAATACTATTAGTCGTAGAATACAAGATATGGCTGAAGACATCAATGATCAATTAATTGAAAAACTAATAGGAAATGACTTCGCCATTCAACTGGATGAAGCAACTGACAGCCATAATGATGCCCATCTTATTTGTTATGTAAGGTTCGTAGTAAATGACGTGTTTCATGAAGATTTACTTTTTTGTAAAACTATTGTTGGTGAAACAAAAGCAGCAGATTTATTTAATATATTAGATTCTTTCATAATTGAAAACAACATTGTTTGGGACAGATGTTTTGGTGTTTGCACCGATGGAGCTCGCTCTATGGCAGGTTGTTATAATGGTTTACAAGCACTCGTTAAAAAAAAGCCCCTAACGCTGTATGGACGCACTGTATTATTCACAGAGAAGCTCTCGCTTCAAAAATTATTAGTCCAAGTCTTAATGAAGTCTTGCTGTCTGTTATTGAAATAGTTAATTTCATCAAAACTCGACCTATAAAGTCCCGGTGTTTTAAAAAAATGTGTGAAGACATGGGAGCTGAGCATACCTCACTTTTGTATTATTGCAACTCCCGTTGGCTTTCACGAGGAAACGTGTTGAAAAGAGTATTTGAACTTCGAAAAGAACTACATTGTTTTCTTCTTGAACAAAAAAATATTTTGAAAAATTTGAAAATGAAGTCTTTTTAATAAAATTATCATACTTATGTGATATTTTTGAAAAACTCAATGTATTAAATGTATCTTTACAAGGTAATGAGACCCACATTTTGCAGTTAACTGAAAAAATTACTTCTTTTAAAAGAAAATTAGTCTTGTGGAAGAATAAAATGGATGAAGGTGCTTTAAATGACTGTTTTCCCACATTGTATATGTTCCTTCATGAAAATAATTTAAACTTGATAGAATCTATCAAATTAGTATTCATGGAACACTTATCACAACTTATTGTTCACTTCCAAAATTATTTTCCCGAGGACGATCAACAACGAAATTGGATTAAAGATCCTTTTACTACTGATCTACCGTCAGAATTAACAATTACTGAACAAGAACAACTGATAGACTTGTACTCAGATTCAGTATCAAAATCCAAATTTGTATCATTATCTTTACCAGAATTTTGGATAGCTATGAAGAAGCAATATCCGATCGTAGCCAATAAGGCTATCAGGACTTTAATTCCATTTGCTTCTTCATACTTATGTGAAACGGGTTTTTCGGCCTTAGCAGTTATCAAAAGTAAATACAGAGGAAAACTAAATACCGAAAAGGAAATGAGAATCGCACTATCAAAATTTACCCCACGATTTGATGATTAAATGCAACAAAAACAAGCACAGCCGTCCCATTAAAAATTAAAATTATTATTAATGTATTAATTTTTTAATTGTATGTAAAAAAATGTTTCCTATTATTAATACCTAATTACATGTTTATCATTAAATAAAGTTAGATTAAAATTATTATAAGTAATGTAAATTTGTTTATTTTAAATGTTCGTATGGGAGCCGTATATTTTATTTCAAAATCAAAAGGAGCCGTGGACCCAAAAAGGTTGACAACCACTGGTGTATAGGAAATGCTAATTTAAACATTCAGTGAAATTTTCATGTATCTACAGTTATTCGTTTTTGAATTGCAACAAAATAAGGAAATCGCTACATGAGAAATCGAGTGAATATCCAATGTTGTAAAAATTTGAATTTGAAACGCTCATAAAAATTTAATTTGACTTTTTATAGACATTTTTTTTGATAAAGGTAGATAATCTTATAAGGAATCTTGTATCACATTTTAAAAATCTTAGATTTAAAAAGAAAAATTTTTACGAATTCTTAACTCAAAATAATTTGCTAATATTTTTGATTTTTCCATATTTTGTCAATTTTTGAACTTAAAATGCTTATAAAAAAAAATTTAACTAAGGACTTTTAATATTTTTCATCTGCCTTTGAAACAATATACTAGGAGCCTTCTATTAAATTTTCAAGCTTTTGCAACCAACAAATAAAATGTTATTGATATTTTTAGAAAAAAAACTAAAAAAAGATGGAAAATGAAAATGTCCCTAAACAGTTCAAAATAAATCAAAATATTTTGAAAATGTTATCGAGTATATAAAATGCAAATATAAAGAACCAGTGAAAATTTCATGTAAATACGTTCATTTTATTTAGAGTTACACCAAAAACCAAAATCGATTTTTTGGAAAACCGATTTTGCGTAAAAATTCCCGTTTTTCCTTAATTTTTATGTTGTTTTTCCCGGCGCTTGTGAAAAATACTGGGAAATTTATACTTTTGACCCCCCCAAAGTACCAACTAGATTCACTTTCCTATCAGAAAAGCTACTGTTGAAGAAAATCCAAGCACTTTTACTGTCCTAAAATGTGATGACAGACACAAAAAAAAAATAAAAAAAAAAAAACACACATCATTGTAAAATCAATACATTCATCGTTTCACTCAGAATCTAAAATGTATACCCATAAACAATATCAGAAAAATAACATGAAAACTATGATCAAAAACAAATTACACAATTATTTATAGAATGAAAAAAAGAAAAATAAGTTATTAATATGTTTATTTATTAACTATGGACTAGACCTTAATTTACTTAACTCCTATAATTAAATTATGCTCAATAATCTAAGTAACTTTGAATTGTTAGTACAAGCAAAATATTTCAATTGGACATACCTGAATAATCCGGAGTGAACGTAAATGGAAGAGCGTCACTACACATGCCATCCGAAGGTCTTTTTAACTGAATCCATACAGTTACTGGACTGTCAATCTAAATTAAAAATTAAAAGGAATAATTATTTATTCGGTGTCAAAATTATTAAACCACAAATGTGTAAATACAATCAAAATTACAAAAAATAAATAATTTAAATTTACCTCTGTTGTTTTATATTTTGGAGTCTTAAACCAAATAGCCACTTGTTTATGTACATCTGAAGCTTTAAAAACACCATAGTCTTCCCAAATGCACTTACCATCTTTTTCCTCAAAAAATCTTACTTGGATATCATCTAAATAATTAACACGCACTTCAGTACACATTAAAATATTATAAAATGCATTTTTATTTTACCTTTTGTTACTTTTTCACATAATAATATGATTTCTTTATCACCTACAACTGAAGCTGCCGCATCACTTAATCTACATATTGATAAATCTGACATCGCTTCTAAAAATAATAAATTCAAGAATATATAAGTTACCTAAAGTAATAACTTAATTAAGTTAAGCAAACTAACTTTTATCATAAATTGGATCTGATACAATTGGTTCTAGAATAGTATATTTTCCTTTTTGTGAATCGCCAAGAAAAGCTTGAAAACACAACCTTACTGCATTTAAGTGTATTGAAGTTGGGTTCTCTTTATGTGAAAATCCAGCTGTAAAATATTTAAAAATACATGTACATAATGTTATAGGTTTTATAATGTTATTAACATATTAGAGTAATAGCCAAATAGTCTTCGGATATATTTAATAATTTACTTACTTCTAAATGGATCTATTTTTAAATGTTCTCGTACTTTGAGTGCCTCAACAATATCTTTTCTTTTTACACATTGTATTCCCAAATTCTGAAAACTTGCCTCCATTGATTCATTCATTAATTCTATAGAACAAATTCCGTTTTCGCAGTTATCACGTCCCACAAGGTTATGAGGGTGAGGTTTATATGGTTCATCTTTTGTAACACATGATACTACAACAACAGCCCTGCCTTTATAACCTACTATCTGAAAACAAAATCACAACAAATGATTGTAATAAAAAAAAAGGTGGGCAAGTGGGTATCGCTCTGCTGTACAGTAGGTTACAAGTGAGTGACTGTATAATGTATGATATTAAATTTGAATTCAACGATATAATATCATTGTATAAGAAAAACGATTCTGAGCGGAGACGGTATGTCAGTCTAGGTATAAAGACATATTATATACATTTCTATGGTATTAAACAAAAAGTTGACCTATAATAGGTAGGTACCTATAATAAATTCCAAATTAATCATATCACAATATCCATTAGGTGCTTATAACGCATTATACATCAACAAAAGCCGTGATACTATCATAGATATATAATAATACACTTTAGAGTTTCAAGTAAACACGAATAATATTATTCAATCACAACAAAATAACTAAAATAGTTATTCTAGGTTTTTTAATATGTAATTTCGTCCAAATTGGAATTTAAAATGTCTGTAAAAAATAAGTGTGTTCATATATTTTTTAGATTTTTTGGTTATAGTATGAACTATTTATGAGAACCTTTGTGTTGAATTTGTAATTCTTAGCTATAAAAACTGAACATTTTATAAATTATTAATTACAATGATTGATAATTTTCGAGATTTTGATAAATTTTGTCAAAATTTGATCTTTAAATGCTTATAAAAAAAAACTGTGACTATGTATTTTTAATATTTTTCAACTGATATTGTAACAATATATCAGGAGCCTTATATTAAATTATTACACTTTTTGGCCCAACAGATAAAACTTTATTGATATTTATAGAAAAAAAAACTAAAAAAAATTGAAAGCCGTAAATATCCGTAAACAGCTGAAAAAGAGTCAGAATATTTTCAAAATTGTATGGTGTATAGGAAATGCTAATATAAACATTCAGTGAAATTTTCATGTATCTACAGTTATTCGTTTTTGAATTACAGCAAAATAAGGATATCGCCACATGAGAAATCGAGTGAATATCCAATGTTGTAAAAATTTGAATTTCAAACGCTCATAACAATTTAATTTGACTTTCTTATAGACATTTTTTTTTTTGATAAATGTAGATAATCTTATAAGGAATCTTGTATTACATTTTAAAATCTTAGATTTAAAAAGAAAAATTTTTACGAATTCTTAACTCAAAATAATTTGCTAATTTTCGTGATTTTTCCATATTTTGTCAATTTTTGAACTTAAAATGCTTATAAAAAAAATTGAGGTTAAGGATTTTTAAAATTTTCCATCTGCCTTTGAAACAATATACTAGGAACCTTCTATTAAATTTTCAAGCTTTCGCAACTAACAAATAAATTTTTATTGATATTATTAGAAAAAAAACTAAAAAAAAATGGAAAATGAAAATGTGCCTTAACAGTTCAAAATAAATCAAAATATTTTGAAAATGTTATCGTGTATATAAAATGCAATTATAAACAACCAGTGAAAATTCCATGTATATGCGTTCATTTGTTTCAGAGTTACACCAAAAACCAAAATCGATTTTTTGGAAAACCGGTTTTGCGTAAAAATTCCCGTTTTCCCTTTTGACCCCCCCCCCCAAAGTACCAACTAGATTCACTTTCCTATCAGAAAAGCTACTGTTGAAGAAAATCCAAGCACTTTTACTGTCCTAAAACGTGATGACAGACACAAAAAAAAAATTAAAAAAAAAACACACATCATTGTAAAATCAATAGGTACATTCATTGTTTCACTCAGAATCTAAAATAATTTATTAGAAACATTACTTGAATTGTTGGGTAGGTTTTATTGTCAGTGGTACTATTAACTCCAGGTATACTCCCGGCTCTACTTTCACGCTTATATCTAAACCTCAACTTTTGTAAAGCAGGCTGTTCGACGATTTTGATATATGGTGAAGTTGTAGGTCTTCGCCCATTATTTGATGATGAACTGTCCATTTGTTCCACAGTTTTAGTTCTTACGTGCTCTTCAATGACATCAACTAAATAATTTTAATGTAGAGTTAATTTATGATAATATTTTTAGGAATAAATTATTTTAGGATCTAGTTAAATAATTTTGAAATACATAGAATGTCTAACACATTTTTTTATAAATATTGCTTATTGCAAATAATGGTACAATAAGAATATTTTGAAACTATGGAAATCTTAAAGTTGGTGGCAGAGCACCATTTATTTTCTCTCCGACTAAGCATGACATAGTAGATTTACTTTTAGGAGAACCAAACCTGTATTGTTACTTTTTTATTAGAGTAAATTTAACTATAATCAAGCTTTAAGAATACCTGTGTCATGTTTTTATACAATTTATAAGCATTTTTAAATCGTAATAATTTATATATTCATAACTTATACAAAAATTTAAATATCATAAAATAGCTAATGTAGCGACACATGTAATGTCCTTAACTTAAAGTTGAATAGATGAATTCACTCGAATACAAATAGTAACAACATACGGTTGGTTCCGCTGAACATAAGTTTGGTAGGTATGTTGCTCGTGAGCAGAGAAATAAAACAAACAGTGCTCTGCCATCATCTTAAATAACACTTCCGATAGTTTATATCTGCGAAGTTCCAGTTGATCTATGAATAGTTTTATAAATAATGACTTTAAAGATGATGTTAGCGATTATTTCTTTCTCCCACTGACCTATGCGAAATATAGTCAAAACGCATTTGCGGAGAATCGTTTTTTTCTATATTTTTAAGTAATCTTAGAGTAAAATCACCCATTACAAAAAAGATAGAAGATAATATTTTTCAGGGAATGACATATCATTTTTTCTAAATATTGTTTCAAAACAATTTAAACATCATTTAAATTGACAACATTTTTTTGTTTAATTTGAAAGTCGAATACAAAGTCAAATAACAATAAAATATGAAATCTATATGTAATTTCCTCTTTAATATTATTCTCTATCTTTTTGTTGTTTAACCTTTTATGTAATGAATAATTATTTTTCACTTACTGACATCACTAATACGGGGATCGGGGATATTAAATTGTGTGTCATTCAAATCCATAATCAATCGGTTCACAATGTATTGACAATTAAAAATACAAACAAGCCCACACATCTGAAATCAACTAAAGTGAGTTACAAAATCATGCCAACAAATACCTATGTGTAGTAAAAGCAAGTGGAACAACAATAAAAAAATTGAGCGACTAGTCTTTGTCAGATGAACACAATAATAATAGTAATTAGTAATAACTAATAACACAATTATTGTATGCCAATATAATCATCAGACGAGAGACGTGCACACGTTAACTGAATAATGTAATGAAGAAATACAAGGCAGAAACCCTGCACACACTGGAAGATGGACACGACCTAGACCATTTTTAGGTCTAGTAGGACATTTCCCCCCCCCACGATATATTTTTGACATGGTCATTTTCTCCCCATTTTTTATAAAGTTTATTATTGACTGATAATAATAAATTGTATAATACAATATTATTTGTTATTTAATATGAAATTAATTTTTTTTTTTAGTCAGATATAAAATATATAAATATTTTTTTATTTTCATAAATATAATAGATTATAAATGTATAATATGTTTGATCCACTAAACTACTTGATACAATAAAAATTAAAAAAAAAAATAAGCATAAATAAAATATATTTAATAATTACCTAATAAAAATAGCTAAAAATTCTGTCATAAAAATGTTACATTTTGTAAAAAACATTTGATTACTGATTCTTTTGTTATTTCTAAACACATTACACATATTTATTAGCCTTTGCTCATTGCTTTTGAATTTGATTCAAGTAGTTCAGTTGATCAAAAATATACATCTATAATTTATTATATTTATGAAAATATTTGAAATTTAGATTATGGATAAAAAAATAATTTCATATTAAATAATAAAATAATATTATTAAATAGTCAACAATAAAAAAAATGGGGGGGAAATGTCCGCATCAAAAATATATAGGGGGGAAATGTCCTACTAGACCTAAAACTGTATGGGTGGAAATGTCCGCGATTCGTTACTTACATACGTAAATACGTAATTCAGTAGGTAATTGGTATTTTGAAAATTTTATTTACCAGTGTTATGCAGCTAAGGGGCATTAATTGTTGCCCGACTCGGAGTAGACGATGCGGTTTTCTAAACTATCTGTCTCTCTGACCAGGTGGTATCGAAGACGACGACGAAGCGGAACAAGTGCACAACCAGTGAGGTAAAGTGTAAAACTAAAATTATGTGAAATTGTTAACGAGATACGAGACGAGAAAAAAAAACAAAACATAGTTAAAGGAAGGAGAAGGTTGCAAGGGCGATGAGCATATTATAATAAACATATTGATCATAGAAAAGAGATTAAAACCTATAAACTAACGGTCAGCGCTTAGAGAGAGAGGTCAGGGGTACCATATAGAGCAGTGGTTCTCAATTATTATGAAGCCACGGACCCTTAGCTAAAACTTAAATTGGTCCGGCCGGGGACCCCTCTTTTGTAAATACTCACTTTAAAATGTAAATTAATTAATTATCTACCTTTTTCGCGGTAAATCGAGTTTCAATAGTACAAAAATATCCGGAATTTCAAACGACTACGAATTTAATAATTTCACTAAAATAAAAAAAAATTAAAAATCGATACAGTACTACACAAACGCGGAACCCCTAACATCAACATGAAGGCCCCTGGGGGTCCGCGGACCACCAGTTGGGAACCAATGATATAGAGAACTCGCTCAATTTTGGTTTTAAAGTAAAAATACCTACCACAAATTGAATTGAGATAATATTTCAGAGGGTAAGTCGTGCTTTTCCCATTAAATCCATTATAACGTTCATTATTTTATCGTTTAGAAATAGAAAAACTTTCAACATTTTTAAAATACTATAATTAAAAAATATTTTTTATTTTTTTTGCGTCCAAGGGGAATATTATTGAGTAAAATTTGGAAATATCAAAAAAATTAGCAAATTATTTTGCGTTGATAATTCATAAAAATTTTTCTTTTAAAATCAAAGATTTGAAAATTTAATACAAGATTTCTTATAAGTTTGTCTACACTTATCAAAAAAAAAAAACGTCCACAAGAAACTCAAATGAAATTTTTATGAGCGTTTGAAATTCATACTTTTACAACAACTGATATTCACTCGATTTCTCATGTGAGTATGTGATGATTTTCTTATTTTATTGTAATTAAATAATAATTTAATAATTTATTTAATAATAATTTTGTAGTTAAAAATGTATAAAATGTTCAACTTTTATAGCTAAGGTTTGAAAATTTTAAACAAGGTTCCACGTAAATAGGTTATATACATATAAATTACTTTATTATCACATTAATATAATCAAATATACTTCGTAATATCATAGGCTGACTGACCGTTTTCGCCCAGGATCGTTTTTTTATACAATGATATTATATCATTGAATTCAAATTTAACACCATCCATTACACATATCTTATTGTAACCTGCTGTACAACAGAGCAACTATTTTTCGTTGATAAAGGTAGATAACCTTATAAGGAATCTTATATTAAGTACACTTTAAAATTTTAAATTTATAAAAAAAATCGTTACTCTAGGTTATTTAATATGTAATTTCCTCCAAATTATAAAAATAAGAAAATAAGAAAATCGATACGTGAGAAATCGAGTGAATATCCAATGTTGTAAAAATATGAACGTCAAAAGCTCATAAAAATGTAATTTGACTATCTTATATACATTTTAGATTCTGAGTGAAACGATTAATGTATTGATTTTACAATGATGTTTTTTTTTTTTTGTTTTTTATTCTTTTTTTTTGTGTCTGTCATCATATTTTAGGGCATTAAAATTGCTTAGATTTTCTTCAACAGTATCTTTTCTGATAGGAAAGTGAATTTAGTTGGTAATTTTGGGGTCCAAAGTAAAAATTTTCCAGTAGTTTTCAAAAGCGCCTTGGTAAACAAAAGAAAAATTAAGGAAAAACAGGAATTTTTCCACTAAAATCTGTTTTCGAAAAAATCGATTTTGGTTTTTGGTGCAACTCAAAAACAAATGACCGTAGGTACATGAAATTTTGACTGAATGTTTATATTAGCATTTTCTATACACCATAACATTTTCCAAATATTTTGAATTATTTTGAGCTGTTTACGGACATTTTCAGTTTCCATTTTTTTTAAATTTTTTTTTCTATAATTATCAATAAAATTATATTTGTTAGTTAAAAAAGTTTGAAAATTTAATAGAAGGCTCCTAGTATATTGTCTCGAAGGCAGTTTAAAAATATTAAAAACTTAGGCACAATTTTTTTTTATAAGCATTTAAAGTTCAAATCTTGACAAAATTTGGAAATATCACGAAAATTAGCACATTATTTTGCGTTGATAATTCATATAAATATTTCGTTTTTTTATACAATGATATTATATCATTGAATTCAAATTTAACACCATCCATTACACATAACTTATTGTAACCTGCTGTACGACAGAGCAACTATTTTTCGTTGATAAAGGTAGATAACCTTATAAGGAATCTTATATTAAGTGAACTTTAAAATTTAAAATTTTTAGGAATTTCCAACTAAAAGTAATTTATACACTTTTTGCCAAAATTCAAACTTTAAATAGGAACTTTTAAAAAAAAATTGTGACTGGATTTTTAATGTTTTTCAAATACCATTGTAAGAAACTATAAAATATATCTTATTTTTTACTCATAATTCTTACTTTAAATTAATGCGCATTATAGTATTTAAATTATCAACAAAATTATGTAAAACCAATACTATTCAATATTTATATCAATATTAATGGTACCTATCATGATTATTTGAGTTTACTAAAATAGCATTTGCTATAAGGAAAACGTCGAAATATTATCAATGTTTTATTTTTTCTCGATTATTCAATAACTGTAAAATAGTATTTAATTAATAGCAAATATTATATGTTGAAGAAAATGTATTTTTAATTCTGAGAAGTACCTTTGGGATTCCCAACGAGGGTCTAATCAAACGTTAGTTGATATCTACTACTAAAGGTTAAATGCAGGTCTAACACAGATTAAAATTGACACAGAATACAGATAACCATACAAATGATTAGGTACTAGATATTATTATTTTTGTTTAAATTTTATATTATATAGTAGCCCATAAGTTTAATTAATATTATAAAATTACAACAAAATAATTAAAATCGTTATTCTTTTTTATTTAATATATAATTTCCTCCAAATTATAAAATAAGAGAATCGCTACTTGAGAAATCGAGTGAATATAAAATATTGTAAAAATATAAAAAACGCTCATAAAAATGTAATTTGACTTTCTTATATACATTTTAGTTTCTGCATGAATGTATTGATTTTACAATAATGTGGTTTAGATTCTGAATGAAACGATGAATGTATTGATTTTACAATGATGTGTGTTTTTTTTTTATTTTTTTATATTTTTTTTTGTGTCTGTCATCACTCATCACGTTTTAGGACAGTAAAAGTGCTTGGATTTTCTTCAACAGTAGCTTTTCTGATAGGAAAGTGAATCTAGTTGGTACTTTGGAGGGTCAAAAGGGAAAATTTTCCAGTAGTTTTAAAAAGCGGAGTGAAAAACAAAATAAAAATTAAGGAAAAACGGGAATTTTTACACTAAAATCTGTTTTCGAACTAATCGATTTGGGTTTTTGGTGCAACTCTTAAGCAAATGACCGTAGGTACATGACATTTTGACTGAATGTTTATATTAGAGTTTTCTACACACGATAACATTTTCAAAATGTTTTGATTCATTTTGAACTGTTTAGGCACATTTTCATTTTACATTTTTTTTAGTTTTTTTTTTAAAAATATCAATAACATTTTATTTGTTGGTTAAAAAAACTTGAAAATTTAATAAAAGTCTCCTACTATATTTTTATAATGGCATTTGAAAAATATTAAAAATCCTTTGTCACAGTTTTTTTTTATAGGCATTTAAAGTTCAAAAATTGACAAAATATGGAAAAATCACGAAAATTAGCAAATTACTTTGAGTTAAGAATTCGTAAAAATTTTTCTTTTTAAATCTAAGGTTTTAAAATGTAATACAAGATTCCTTATAAGATTATCCAAAAAAAAAATGTCTATAAGAAAATCAAATTAAATTTTTATGAGCGTTTGAAATTCAAATTTTGGATATTCACTCGATTTCTCATGTAGCGATTTCCTTATTTTGTTGTAATTCAAAAACGAATAATTTTATATACATGAAAATTTCACTGAATGTTTATATTAGCATTTCCTATACACTGTACAATTTTTAAAATATTTTGACTCTTTTTGAGCTGTTTACGGACATTTTCAGTTTTCAATTTTTTTTAGTTTTTTTTTCTATAAATATCAATAAAGTTTTATCTGTTGGGCCAAAAAGTGTAAAAATGTAATACAAGGCTCCTGATATATTGTTACAATAGAAATTGAAAAATATAAAAAATACATAGGCACAATTTTTTTTATAAGCATTCAAAGATCAAATTTTGACAAAATTTATCAAAATCTCGAAAATTATCAATCATTGTAATCAATAAATTATAAAATGTTCAGTTTTTATAGCTAAAGATTGAAAATTTAAAACAAAGGTTCTCATAAATAGTTCATATTGTATCCAAAAAATCCAAAAAATATATTAATACAGTTATTTTTTACAGACATTTTAAATTCAAATTTGGACGAAATTACATTTTAAAAAATCTAGAATAACTATTTTAGTCATTTTTTTGTGATTGAATAATATTATTCGTGGGTACTTGCAACTTCTAAAGTGTACTATTATATATCTCTGATAGTATCACGGCTTTTGTTGATGTATAACGCGTTATAAGTACCTAATGGATATTGTGATATGATTAATTCGGAATTTATTATAGGTATCTATTATAGGTCAATTTTTTGTTTAATACCATAGATAGGTATGTATATAATATGTCTTATACCTAGACTGACATACCGTCTCCGCTCAGAATCGTTTTTCTTATACAATGATAATATATCGTTGAATTCAAATTTAATATCATCCATTATACAGTGACCCACTTGTAACCTACTGTACAGCAGAGCGACACCCACTTGCCCACCTTTTTTTTTTTTATTTTTTTTTTTTTTGTATCTGTCATTATATTTTAGGGCATTAAAAATGCTTAGATTTTCTTCAACAGAAATCACGATAACCAATCCGTTAGGTATTAATTTTAGTTAAAAAAAAGTGTTGAGATATTTTTTTTAGTAAACTACTTGATATACAATTTTTGTATAAGCTGTTCATACGTATAAACACTGTGTAAGAGATAGAGGTAAGAGATAAATGAAAAAACCTATTTTGTGACACTTATTGGCCTTGACTAAAGAATTTAGCAGCATGCAGTATATATAGAATTGATGGGGACTTATAGATTTTATTTGTGATGAGTCCAGGGCTCATAACCTATAGCTCTAAAATATATTCATATAAGCTCTTAAATATGCACTAAAAAATAAATACTAAAATATGCGAAAAAAAATTGAATAATATCACATCAGAATTATTGTTTACTATATCATTCATGGCTCCGTTATACTAATTTATTTTGCGATTGTTCTATAAAAAAAAATTATTACAATAAAAATTAAAAAATTTTAAATATTTTTAAACATATATTTACCTTCAATGTTATACATTGAATAATGAGATGTTTGTAAAAGTTTTAAAAATGAAATGATCTTCGTTTGTTACTGAGTAAAGTCTTGTACATTGAAAACGACGATGTCTGCTGACGTAATTGGTGCAAACTTATAGTACACCAGATCATTTGTCTAGAAGTCTTCAGAAAGTCTTGAAAGGTTCAAGTTCTGTTTCTGTGTTAATGTTATTAGGCACTTACCAGATATATAATACAATTTAAGACCGACATTTTTGTGCTCGACGTTATTAAATTTATTAAAAACTGCAGCTTTTCCAATATTGGTCCTTGAAGAGTTTCAAATACATTTATAGCTTCTGCAGCTAATGGTAGTCCTTGTTCTTGTAACCTGGTAATGGAAACTGTTAAAATTGGAATATCGGACTTTATGTAGGCCAAATCCCTTTCAATACCAGCTTTGTAAATATATGTTTTGGCCTCTTTGATACTAACAGCTTTATCGGCGTATAGTTTTTCAAGAATTTCAGGTATGATTTCAATATTTTCACAATAGTAATTTGAAGCGATTAACTACTTAGGTATACTCCAACGTATTATAATAGGCTCCGGTAGTCAGGTGGCAAATTTAAATGAGGAGCTTAATTTTTGAACAGTTGAACACTGTTTGCCGTTTGATGGTTTTCGGAATATATTTTTAACACTAAAAATAAGTTTGTCGACATTACTAAACTTGCCCCTTTCTTCCTCTGCTACTCTGTGGAGTCCATGAGCCGTACACGTAATATGAATAATATTATTATACATAATAATATATTGAATAATTTTGGAATAAAATGCTTTCAATGTATTACCAGCTTTTATCATAATATATAGGGAGCGGCGTCGGATGTAAACAATAAAACATCCTCGTGTTGAATAGAATGAATACCAATGTTTGGCAATGATTCCAATAGATTTGTCGAATACCTACTCGGGAAATATTCAAATAATTTGTTTTTTCCTATTGTTCTGAAATTCTGAATGTAGGTACCAAATATTGTTTACCCGAGTAATCTGCTTCAAGTATACCAACAATTACATTAGCAACAAATCTACCTTAAATATTGGTACCTAGTTTCGTCAATACTGACCCAAACTTTTTTACCAGACACACGAAGACTCCCGGGTTTTGACGCCTTGCGGCTACAACCGCGGACCTCACATTAGCGCTGTGCGCTATTCGAGGGCCGCGGAGGTTCACGGTCGACGTACGGTGGCCCAGTCCGTCGACCGCGCGTCGTCTACGGACCACGAGCACCGGAACCGAGGTCCCGTACCAAGAAGACAGACCAAGTGCCGCCTGAATTCGCCTGGTCTGGCTGTGTGCTATCTCCACACCGAGTGTTTCTGGTTACACCCAACCTCCGATGATACTACACCGGTATAGCGGCTAGACGCCCGAGAGGAACCGACAACGAACCGGTGACTCGCGCCCCCGGGTCGTGGCGGCCGTTCATCAGAGGTTTTCGCCTGTCAGCGAGAACTTAGAATAAGCATCTATTGACTTAACCACAAAGTATTCGTAAGAAAACCGCCACCACGATTCCTACCGGCAACGGACGTCCAGGGGCGTGAACCATCACTGGACGCCCGCGGTGAGCGGCGTCGTTGCCGACGGGGCCCCACTCACTCCCGTGGTACTGAAGCGTCTTCAGTCAGACTCTCACCCCCTCGAAAGCTACCAGTTCTGTCCGGCAAGACGGGCATTGGTTTGCCAGACAGTTCAAGTTTAATTTTACTCATTAGGTATTTCGTCAAAAATAATGTCATCTATGTATCCAAGTCTCAAGTTTGTTTCTGTAGGAACATTATTTCTGGTATAAACTTCCAAAAATGTACGAAAGCTCTTATTTGAACTTTTATTCAGTGGTATATTAGCTGATAATAACGCAAAACACAAGACTTTAATAAATGAGGATTTTTGGTAGAGTTGAGGTAACCAATTGTTGTTTTTTTTTTTTACCTTGGATTTCTGCACGTTTAACGCCCAAGAGGACGCTACATTGGTCATTTTTAGCGGAAAAAAACAAACGAAACCGGAAACACCATCAAAAAGTTGTTTTAGAGTAAAAATACTTCTAATGAAATTTATAGAAAACAATATTTAGGAGTGAACCTCATCGACGTTTTTTTGAAATATGAAGTAGGTAGTAACAAAAGTTACAGTTGTTTAAAAAATGTAAAAATAATGGTTCTTGTGTCTTTAATATCGAGCTGTGTATTTAGATTAATACAAAACCCCAATGAGGTTCCTTCCGAAATATTGTTCTCTATAAAATTTATTAGAGGCAATTTTACTCTAAAACAACTTTTTAATGGCTTTTCGTTTGTTTTTCGACAACATATTTACGTCGTTAGATATGATTTTTACGACAGACGCTTCCAAGAAATATATTATGCGCCGATAATAAACCTTACTACGTAACGAGAAATTCTCTTTTTTTAAGGTTTTCTGTGGTTTGTGGGTACACTGTTAATCTGCAATTCCACAAATAAAACGATTGGATCTTCGCAGGAAAAAATTTTTTGTGATCCATGGTGTCAAAAATGTCCACCAGAGTGAATCACGTCTAGTCTAATCCCTATCATCTTATCAGTTATCGTTGATAAAAAAAACGATTCATGATAATATAGTATTGTGATTATGTGATTTGAATTTTTGATTATTTATTATATTTTTGTATTATTTTACTTTATTTTATTATTAAATATAATTACACATAATTAAAACCAAAAAATATATAACCATGTTTAATTGCCAAGTTTGCGATGCTAAATACATATCGGTGTCTGGTTTAAATAAACATTTAAGAATAAAACATAAAGATACTCCGAAAATTAAAAATCTTTATTATTGTAATGACTGCGATGCATCATTTGATTTAAAATTGAATATTATAAAACACACTAAGACTCATTTATTTAGTCAGAATAGTAATATATTATGTTCATATACAAATTGCACAAAATCATTTCCATCCATGAAAGGATTAATTGTGCATTTAAAATCTCATAACATTAATATCGAGCCCACAATGTTAAATTTTAATTCTATAGAAGGTATATTAAATTATAATTACATTATATATCTGTTAACAATTACTATGATTTATTTTAACATTTATAATTTTATAATTTTTTTTTTTTACATTTATATGACGATTTACAACATGACGATGTTAAACTTACAATTTTTTTAAAACTTGAAACTTATTTGAAATTATTATTCTTATTATTGTATGTTTGTATTGACAATTTTTTAAAACTTGAAACTTATTTGAAATTATTATTATTATAACTGTAGACTGTATGTTTGTATTAACATTTTTTTAAAACTTGAAACTTATTTGAAATTATTATTCTTATTATTGTATTGTGACAAATTTTTAAAACGTAGTTAAAAATTATAAATTGTTCAATTTTTATAGCTAAGGATTGAAAATTTAAAACAACGATTTTAAATTTAAGTTCAAATTTGGAAGAAATTATAGTTATTGTAAAACGAATTTATAATATGAATATAAATTATTATTATTATTATAAAGCAAAATATAAAAATTTGGTTTTTACTTTCATGGATTTTTTCCCTTGGTCCTTTTTTTCCTTTTATTTTTTATTTTTTGGTTTTAATTATGTGTAATTATATTTAATAATGATTGATGAATAAAATAAAATAATACAAAATATAATAAATAATCAAAAATTCAAATCACATAATCATCGTTTTTTTATCAACGATAACTGATAAGATGATAGGGATTAGACTAGACGTGATTCACTCTGGTGGACATTTTTGACACCATGGATCACAAAAAATTTTTTCCTGCGAAGATCCAATCGTCAAATAAACCCCATAGATAATGTATTATCTATGATAACCCCGACCACAACAACAACAAATGACTGAAAACCAATGAACAGTGCTACACGATATTAAGAAAAAGAGGTACGTGGCAGCACGTTTAAATTCTAGATTCGGACATGGTTTTATACTTTTATCATCTCCCGTAAGACCCTATGTTAAATGAAATATGTTTCTCTTCTGTTTAATACTTTAATAGATTGATTTTATACATGACAAAATGATTATTTATAAATGAATACCTAAATAAAATTTCTATAATCAGGAAATCAGCACTCAGCAGTCATATAACTAGAAGGCATTCACTGACCGACTGGATAACTGGATAACATTTGATTTGTGTTCAATCATTTTTATAATATAATTACTAATTACTAATTACCATATACGTAATCTGGGGGCAAGGGGTTTTACCACAGTTTCCCCCACAAAATTTTACCCCAGATTACGATTATGTTTACACTATGGACAGGGGCGAACCTAGTGGGGGGTAGGGTGGTCATAATACCCCCCCAATAATTGGTTTCTTAACTTTTGAGTTGGCCATTTTACATTTATGAAAAACTCAATAACTGTACGTCTGTACATAATGGCCAACTAATAATTTGTATACGATTGACGATTGTGATTTGTGATAGTGATATTGACTAGAATCAAGGTTATTAGAATAATATAGTGAATATACTAATATTATTATACTGTCTGAACTAGAAAAATATATATTGTCTATTATCGGAAAAATAAGCAGTAAATACTAAATTGTTATCAGTGCGTCAGTAATAATAAGAGGAATATGCAATGGTGAGGGAGTTTGAAAATCCAGATACTGTAAATAGCCAACTGAACGTGGTTGACATGATTTTTTCAGTCTATGGAATCTAATTTGTTATAAATGTATGCATCAGTACTGCAGGCTCGCGATACCTACCACTATTATTTACAATAATTATTATACCTACGTCACGTTATGTTTATCTGTAATATTATGTAGATTTGACATACATGAATATAATAATACTTGTCCAGTTATACCTACTGTCTTTACTTATATTTTATAATATTTTAATATTTCATAGAATATTTAATTATTTAAATCGTCTAATTTGTTGTGCGTGTTTTTTATTTGTCCTAGTAGTTTTTACAAGCGCCGGGAAAAACAACATAAAAATTAAGGAAAAACGGGAATTTTTACGCAAAATCAGTTTTCCAAAAAATCGATTTTGGTTTTTGGTGTAACTTTAAAACAAATGAACGTATATACATGAAATTTTCACTGGTTGTTTATATTTGCATTTTCTATACACGATAACATTTTCAAAATATTTTGATTTATTTTGAACTGTTTAGGGACATTTTTATTTTCCATTTGTTTTTAGTTTTTTTTCTAAAAATATCAATACAATTTTATTTGTTGGTTGCGAAAGCTTGGAAATTTAATAGAAGGCTCCTAGTATATTGTTTCAAAGGTAGATGAAAAATATTAAAAATTCTTAGTCACAATTTTTTTTATAAGCATTTAAAGTTCAAAAATTGACAAAATATGGAAAAATCATGAAAATTAGCAAATTATTTTGAATTAAGAATTCGTAAAAATTTTTCTTTTTAAATCTAAGATTTGAAAATGTAATACAATATTCCTTATAAGATTATCTACCTTTACCGAAAAAAAAATGTCTATAAGAAAGTCAAATTAAATTTTTATGAGCGTTTGAAATTCAAATTTTTACAACATTGGATATTCACTCGATTTCTCATGTAGCTATTTCCTTATTTTGTTGTAATTCAAAAACGATTAACTGTAGATACATGAAAATTTCACTGAATGTTCATATTAGCATTTTCCATACACTGTACAATTTTGAAAATATTTTGACTTTTTATGAGCTGTTTACAGACATTTTCAGTTTTCAATTTTTTTAGTTTTTTTTTCTATAAATATCAATAAAGTTTTATCTGTTGAGCCAAAAAGTGTAAAAATTTTAAACTAGGCTCCTGATAGATTGTTACAATAGCAACTGAAAAATTTTAAAAATACATAGGCACAGTTTTTTTTTATAAGCATTTAAAGATCGAATTTTGACAAAATTTATCAAAATCTCGAAAGTTCTCAATCATTGTAATTAATAAATTATAAAATGTTCAGTTTTCATAGCTAAGGATTGCAAATTTAAAACAAAAGTTCTCATAAATAGTTCATACTGTAACCAAAAAATCTAAAAAATATATGAACACAGTTATTTTTACAGACATTTTAAATTCAAATTTGGACAAAATTACATAATAAAAAACCTAGAATAACTATTTTAGTTATTTTGTTGTGACTGTATAATATTTTTCGTGGGTACCTACTTGAAACTTCTAAAGTATACTACTATATATCTATGATAGTATCAGGGTTTGTTGTTGGTGTATAACGCGTTATAAGTACCTAATGGATATTGTGATATGATTAATTTGGAATTCATTATATGTCAATTTTTTTTAATACCATAGATAAGTATATAATATGGCTTATACCTAGAAGGACATACCATCTCCGCTCAGAATCGTTTTTCTTATACAATGATATAATATCATTGAATTCAAATGTAATACCATCCATTATATAGTGACCCACTTGTAACCTACTGTACAGCAGAGCGATACCCACTTGCCCACCTTTTTATTATTTACTTTTTTTTTTTTTTTTTAACATTATTTATTATTTTATTGCAAATGTGGTACTTACCTAATGGAATAATTGTAATGGATATCTTTATATATTATAAACAATTTTCATAATCTATTAGTATAATAGCTTGAATTTTTAATTTACTGAAATAATTAAAACATTTTAACTGTTTAACGATGAAATAGCTACGACAAAATAACAAAAACAAGTTGTCCCGGATCAATTTTTAGAGTTGGCCAAACTACTAACTTTGGCCCCCCAATAAAAACCTCTTCGGTACGCCCCTGACTATGGACAGTCTTATATTTTCAGGTAGTAGGTATATAGCCATATAGGTACGTTAGGTAGGTACATCAAACTTCAAAGTGTTAAAGCAATAATAAATTCTAGTACCTAATCATATAAAATAAATACCTAGTATTTCTCTACATAATACATGCTATAAATTATAATGGTATATTGTTGTAAATGTAAAAAA